ATTATTAATCCATAGATCGAACACTAAGAAAAAATTCCTTCGATCCGGCCGGATTCGAACCGACGTCTTCTAGCAGGCCGTACCAGAGCCAGACGCGATGCCAATTAAGCCACGGAACGCACCAGCGGAACTTACGAATTTTGGTTTTCAATGTAGGTATTATAATCTAATCTACAGTAATATAGTAACACACTCAACATAACCCTGTGTCGCGGGTGCCATGGACACACACATGGACAACCACAAATTACGCCTAAGCCCCGAGAGAAACAAATGCACGCCATACAAATATTTCACCCGGCCCGGGAACCGAACCTGGGACCTCTGAGTGGCAGTCCGGCATGGTAACCTTTCGGCCACTGAGGCTATTAAATAAATATTTTTTTAGGAAGTTATTTAATATTTAGAGAGTATTATTCCTGCAGATTGAATCACACATAACCAGGTACCTTTACAACTACCAGCGGATGACTATAGATCGCCATGATATTGAAATTAATGAAATTACTCCACTAATTTGTTATAATTATTAATACAAAGATCGACCTCAAAAAATTACATTTCCAGCCATTGGCAATCTGGTCCTTAATTATTACAGCATTTGATTAAAATCAAACTGTTAAGTTACTTCATTCAAATCAAGTTAATTACAGTAACTTATCGAGTTATCACGACCGCAGCGCTTCCTAGTTAATATCTGTTACTAAGATCTTTAACATAGGAGTTTTTACACTTAGGCTCAACTTACACTGGCGTAGGGTCGAAGCGTCACGTCCTGTTTTTCAACGACAATGCATGGCGACGCTCGCATTGGCGCGCCTGGATCACAATCCTGAACCAGTTCAAAGACTTTTGCGCACAAGCATATTTGCTAACATAAACTTGTACCCTAATAATAGGAAAATAGAGATGAATATGCTATAGGCGTAAAACATGACCCGCCGATGCTTCGACTCTGCGCAAGTGTGAGTTACGCCTTCGTGTTACAAAGCGCAAAAGATAGCAGGCTAGTTATCAGTTCGTTGAGAGAGGCAATGGTTTTGGAGCTGACGAATTTCACCTTAAGGGTAGATACTAAAATTTTTTTCCATACTAGTACAGTTAATTTTGCATGGGTTGAGCAGCAGGGACGCTGGCTTTATTTCAGAATTTATTTTTAACAAACGAAATTTAAGCTATTTCAAAAATGTACTGAACGTCTTCAATTTAGTTCAGTTGATATAAAAAAAATATTGATATAATTTCGAGGTACAGATACAATCAAGCCGTGATATGGTTTGACCTTCCGCCTCTCGAGCAGAGGCCGTGGGTTAGAATCCGGGATAGCACCATTGAGTTTCTCGGAATTTATGTGTGAAATTTAATTTGAAAACCATGAATGAGCTTTCCGGGGAAATCCTGCGTATCGAAGAAGGTACACAGCGGAAAACGTGTCCGAGAGGAGATCCGTGTCTAACAGTGGGCCGTATATGGTTGTCGATGAATCATTTGCCACATAAGTGCACAGTACAACGGTTTGTGTACTATAACAAAAGTTTCTTGCAAAATTACCTCCTACTTTATGAATGAACTCTGAAGACTCATTATATGCAAATGTTATCACGAAATCATCTTAATTACAAGACGTAATAAGTGTAAAATCGCTTGCATCCGCTTGGCAATGCAAGGTGACCAGGCCCTTTCATTAATATTTTTTAACTATAATGAATAGAATTTAAACTACACTGGCCTTTTAGCAAACTACGATTTCAAAAGTACAAATTAACTTTCTGTGTCAACTCATACAATACACGTTCCACAACTAGTCATGGATTTTCTTGTCCTGACGTGAAGATTAAAATTGGCTCACACTTAGAAAAATATTCAATAAGCATTGTAAATCAAACCCAGAACCCTGCTAATAACACCGTAAGCACTATCGCTACGGAGTTATTACAAAAGCAAAACTTAAAAACATAGCGTGAGAACAGATAGGGGGTACATACGCGAACGGAAATGCAATGATGATGATGACAATTTAATTATCGTGTCAACTGTACTCGCTGGGCAGATATACTGCCTATGCAATACTATTAATATCTATTTTGTATTGGCACTATAGTCAGCAGTAAAAGATTTTCACTAGTTACAACTAGTAGTTCATAAGATAATGTTAGCAAAGAGTTATTTTGTCTTTCTACCTCAAAAGTTTGTGGAATTACATCTATTTGCCAAGTTTTATTGTAATTCGTTACCGGAAAGGGCGCAAATTCGGATTCATCCCCTAATTTGCCACCCTTAGACAACACCATCCCCTGACAACAGAGAGCAAGACGCATAGGACAAAAACACAGTGACAGCTCTAACCAAAATTTTAATAGGACACCCCGTAAAACACGTTTTATTAAATAAACAAAAAGAGAATCATTCGGTCGGTTAAAAAGGAACTTACTGGTCATACTTAAATTTTTTATTTGTTAAAATTGGCTACTTAAAAAATAACGCGCGCTTTTTGAATACTTTGGACGTAAACGGCGCCACGTGGACTGAAAACAACGAACATTAAGAACTGAATACGCTATAAAATAACTCTATTAATACAAATAATCATTAATTAGTGCCGCCAATCTCACTGTTATAAATCGAACTAAAATAAAGCCGGCTTTATACAATTGCACAAAGGACGCCTTCTCTCCGAACTAGAAGGTAGACCAGGGCCACACATATTGTTCGATCGTTCCCGCGTTCCCACCGAAAAGCTATGGGACGAAACACCGCCAGGTTTTAGTTGGTACTATTCCGATATACACCTCGCCTTCCCGGGCGGAGGACAACCATGAGGATTTTCTGACATATATTCTTATATCCATAGTTCTTTTTCATAAAGGATCATTGTTGGGCCCATTGCTCTTCAATATCTTCGTCAATGACATCTCTTTGTGTTTTGCTTATTCTAAAATAATTATGTATGCCGATGACATGAAAATAATGCTTCCCATCAACTCTACTCAAGATGCGTTGCGACTACAGGAAGACCTCTCCAGATTTGAAAGCTATTGTAACTTAAACAAACTTGACATCAATGTATCTAAATGCTATGTCTGTACTTTCTCTCGTAAATGTAAACCCTTAAATTTTACCTACAAACTGTTGAACATTGACATCTCAAGAGTAACAACCATCCGTGACCTCGGTATATACTTTGACAGCAAATTGCATTTCGATATCCACATTAATGAAATCGTTAATAAAGCATCAAAAGCGCTTGGTTTTATAATGCGAATTTCACGTGATTTTAAAGCTATAAAAACCTTTAAAATTCTCTACTGCGCTTATGTACGTAGCCACTTAGAATACGCCTCTCAAGTGTGGAACCCTTTCTATAAAATATACGAAACGCGAATTGAAAGACTTCAGAAACGTTTTTTACGCTACATGCAGTTTCGATCTAAAATCTATATTTCTGATTATTATAAGCGGTGTAAAAGGTTTCATATACTCCCGTTGCATGAGCGAAGACGGATAGCTGATGTCATATACTTAATCAAGGTAGCCAATGGCTCGGTTGATTGTCCAGAGCTCCTTAGTAATATTGGTTTGTGTGTTCCATGGGGTTCACTTCGTCATAACAACACACTTCATGTTCCTACTGCGAGAGTAAATTATAGGCGAAATTCGTTTTTCATCCGAACGAGTAACAGTTATAATAGGATAGCGAGGCAGCACGATATAGATTTCTTTAATACTTCTCCAAACAAGTTGAAGCAATTACTACGCAATCATTTTTTCTCTTGTTTACATTCCTAAAGATTATGTTAGTAATAATTTACTTTATTTCTTTATTATTAGTTATCTAGTTCATTTTCATATTTTTTGTATTCTAAATTAATATATGGGTTAATAGGTTCTTACGTATTATATCTATATTTATATAAATCAAATGCATGATAGTACGGTTTTATAAACAACCTATAATGTACACTTTTTTAAATTTTATCTGTGGAAACTTATAATTGGCCCTCAGTACTACTTATTTGTAATTATTCATAAGTTAGCTGTTAGTTTCCCTACAACTGTAAAATAAAAAAAAATAAAAATAAAAAAATAAAATAAAAAAATAAATCACCACTAACATTGTTACGTCCCACTATATGCCACGTCATCCTTATGCAGATTAGGGACTTCCCACGTTTACCAGGGGTTGTGAACCTTTTTTAACATGCAGGTTTCATATCATTAAGCTTTCTTTTACCGTTAGCGCGAGACTCTGTAACGGAACGTTCATAAATCTATGTAACTTACGTCATAATCTTTTTAATAATAAAAAAATTACGTCACGAACTTAAAATATAGTACATAATACAGTAGGGTAGTGTATGGAGACTACCCTACCACAGCAACGTCATATTTGAACACTTAATAAGATCACGTGACAACAAAACAAGGAGATTTGCTTTAGCAAATAACTACAACAAATATTATGAAGTATTGCGTAGTTGCGTCGTTGTTGCGTCACTCCTACGTTATTAAGATAAAATTTCAGAGCATTGTTTATGGCTTGAGTAGATGTTACAGGAAACCACTGTCGTTGCCGGCTTGAAAACAGACGTTTCACTGGTGGATCTAGGAGTACAAATAAGTTGGTTGATCCAGATAAACTGTTTGACGTAAAAGTACAGATAAGTGGACCTAAAATATAGATAAGTTTGTAGACCCACGAATATAGATAAGTTATTGGATCTAAAAGTACTGATAAGCTGGTAGAACAACAAGTGCAGATACGTCGATGGATCTACGACTACAAATAAGTTTGTGGACCTAGGAGAACAGATAAATTGTTGGACCTAATAGTATGTAAATGTTGGTGGACCTGTGAATACAGGTTAATTTTTGCATGTACAATCCAGCGTGACTGCATCCTAACTGCTTTCCCACAGCATTCCAACAGTCATATTCAGTTCAGCTTGTGTGACTACAGACTTACAACTAAAAAGCACATGTATATACAAAAGTATACTCACTCTTTCTTATTGTTGACTACAATGACTAGTTTCACTTTCCGAGGGCCCTTTGTCATTTTGCACTGATCCTTGTCTGTCTCCGCCGGGCCCTTGGTGACGAATTTTAATAACGGAATGATTAATGTCTTTACCAACCAGCCTTAAGGCTGCTCCTCCTGTCACCTCACTGACATTATAACTTTTGTAGTTCACTGTACTTAGTTTAAACACTTTTCGTTCTAAAAGTCCCGTCCATTTAATAGTTAGGAACTTCTCACTTCGAAATCACTGCGTTTAATACTGCTGAGCTTACTGTTAGAAATGTATTAGTTTAAAAATACATTGATTGATTGATTTAATGCTTTAATCTTATGTAGTTAGAAATATAAGTAACTGATAGTTGTATGTTACCGAATGTATCAAATTCGTATTATGACGTTGAATTTTAATGATAAAGAAGTTTAAAGAAGGTAATTACATAACAAAGTTATATAAGGTAGTGAGACTTCACTTGACGACAATGTGTATCAAAATGATACATGCTCGCATTGAAATCACGTCAAGATTTGACATGATGAATGATGATACATGATAGCTGATTGCACAGTCCGTGATAAAGTCACTATCACTGATAGTGGATACTGAAAAAGACCAAATATTAAATATTTAAGCAGCGTCAACGGTTAAGATGGAATTTTAGGTAATTATATTGTGATTTAATTACATCGCTTTTGTTTGTTCAATAAAATCATTGTTTAACAACATAAGTGTGATTATAATCCCTTTTCATGTCACTGCAGAGATATGGGAAGCTGTAAATGCCTTTTTTTTATATAATACCACAAGTGAAGGAACGAACAGTTTGTGCGTCTGGTGGTAAACGAAACTCATAAGCGTTGCAGTGTCACTCTAGCTCTAAATCGTAAAAATCTGAGGGTCACTACCACTGCTTGTGTCACATTGAGACAATCTGACAAGCCTCATGTGCCTGTAATTTCACCAGCACCCTATCCTTCAAAACCGGAACGCAGTAATGTAAGCATTACTGTTTGGCTGCAGAAATAGGTAAAGCGGCAGTACTTTCCTGGACAAAGTCTTTCACAAGGAGTTCTACTGCACTTTACCACGAGAGGTGTATTGTATAAGGTGCACGAAAGACGCATCCGAGCTTCAAATCAGGCAAGTATTTTATGTTAATATGCTCACTGTATAATAATTTGATAAGCTTAATTTCTGATGTAAAAAATACAGATCTAAAAATATTGTTTTTTATGATAGCAAGTGACGGGACGGACAAGTCGTGTGCCTGGTGATAAGCGACGCGCCTATCCATAACAGTTGTAGTGTCATTCAAATTTAAAATGGCAAAGATCTATAAAACGCTGACAAATAAAGTTAACAAGCCCATGTGCGTTTAGTTTTACCGGCTTCCTTACCCTTTAGAAACCAGTACGCAGTATTTTCACATTACGGCTTGGCGGTAGAAATAGGTATGGTCGCAATATACTTGACGACTGCCGTGGTCGAGTGGCTTACACACGGGTTTTCACGGTGTCGCCATCTCTGAAGTCCAGGGTTCGATCCCCGGCCGGTTCAATGTAGAAACTTTTCAATATTGTCTCGGGTCTGAATATTTGCGGTGCCGTAGTTGTTTCCAATTTCCATAACAGAAGTGATTTAGTTGCTTACTTTGGGATCAGAGCAACGTAAGTTATGTTCTTATTTATTATTATTTATAGCTCATCGGACAAAGTCTTTCACAAGAAGCTCTTCTGCTATTACTACTTCTTCTGAAGTAATTGAGTGAATTAGGGGTGCCAATACATTTAGATATGTGAAATTATTGGACGCATTGGAAATCACAAAATCAATTAGTAGCAGTGCATCCACAACGGAGTCATAAACGTCTGGTACTGCAAGTACCATTTAGATGTTCTCTATCAAATATATTATTGTAACTGTGACGTAAATCACAAGGATCTATTTTTAACAAATAATCTTTTTAATTCCATTAACCACGATTATAAATACAAATCAATCTGGACTGTGATATAAAAAACCTTCAATCATTTTGGATTTCACATATAACAATATTTGGGTTATTAATCTATAAATTCGTCAAGAGTTACAATACAATCGATCAATCATGCTATTTTAATCTTTTTCCACGTTTCGCTTATGTAACTCACACTTCTGTCAAAGTATTATTAAACGAGTACTGCGTAGACTTGGTAACAGCTCGGTTACTTTAATACCGCCATTGTTATTGGACATCTAGTTCCAATTGCAAAGATATAGTAATTCTAAGTGGTAAGTAGAGTCAACCAGTATTTCTTAAAAAGGCGTAGTTATTGTTCTGAAATTTGTAAATCTTCTAATGAACACCGAAGAGTCAATTAACAAAGATAAGACTGATAGATATTGCTAGAAATATTACCCGACATTTTCGTACAAATGTGGTAAAATTAGACAAAAGACTCTGAAACCAACTTGGATCTATAAGAGCGGATGATGACAATGAGATTCTATTAAAATGTATCACTAAGAAATAAAGATGCAACTCAATCTGAAGATAACGGAAACAATACAAGTGTTACTTTACTACAATAGAAAAAAGATAAAACATAAAAACCCACATCCGAAGGCATGATTAAGCCATTGATAAAAGTGAGCGGAAGAACGCCAGCATAAGGAAAAATAAAAATGTATTATGACGGATGATATGCAACATACTGTATTTAAACGTGAAATTTATAGAGGATAAAATGATAATTACGTAGTTAAAACGACGTGTGTCTTTAAGGATAACAAAAAGAGGGAAAATGACACTAGTAAAATTGTCCTTGTTGTATATATCTGTCGTATTTTAAGTTAAGGACAGGCCTGCCAGGTTACGTTACAATTCGGAAAGGTAAGTGATGCACAAGAGGTGCCACCGAAGGGACAAGTCTAAGGTAAGGTAAGGTAAGGCTGTTGGCCAATTGAAACAGTTGGAAATCAACTGGAAACTAGTTTTGTTAAAGATGAAATCTATATAGTAATTGAATTTACGATAAGATAGAGTGAAGATGTTACTATCGTCTATAAAGGTTTATCTCTCGGACCAAATTATACAAACTTATATTATAAATGCGAAGGTAACTCAGTCTTTCACGTTTTCACGCCTAAATTTCGTATAGAGATAGATGGAACCTAGGAGAAGGACATAGGGGATGAAAATTTGTATGGAGAACCAATAAAACTATGACAATGCACAGGAACCTTCTAATTTTAGGTCCTGACCCCAAATCAGCCAGTGTACAGGGTTGTCACAGACCGTTGTCACTGACCTCGTCCGGTTTTTAAGAGGCTATTGCCTCGGGTAAGCCGCCCCGGGTGCACGTACAGTACCCTCCCTATTTTCCAGATAGGTACGGGAGCTGTTAACGGTTGCCACCGCTAAGCCGTTGACTCTAAAGTCCACTACCAAATCTCATTGGTGGCAGAGCCATAAGACACGCAGATCAATAAAGTGTAGGCTACTCGAAGTGCTCGCGGGGACTAGCTAGTATTATATATTTGTAATGCATTTCACGAGGGTCCAGTATAAGTTAACCACATGTCCTACTTCATACTGCGCCAGTACACATAGCCTTACAAACCTATCTAACAACCTTAAGGAGCCTAAATTGAGTTGAAAAACTGATGTTCACATTACGTTATACTCTCTAACTGAAACTATCAATAAGAAGATTAGTATATCTCGAAAATTGTGTTAGTGGACACGTCAATGCCAGAACTATTTATCTCAAGGACTTTGCCTTCAATTTTATATATTGTTATGTGGTTTTCGAGTTTTACTTTACTAACAGATGTGCATATTATCTTTTATGTTATGGATACTTTATTTTCCTTTTGTATTCTTTTGGTTTTTTTATTGCTCTGTTTAGTTCAAGTGTTGTTGCATTAAAAAAACTGGAGAATTTACCAGCTTAGATTTGCTTATTACACCTAGAGTGAGACCGTTGTTGGAGAAGCAGTACAAGAAGAAGAACAAGAAAAATTTTGGAACCTACGGAATTTCTGTCATTAAGCATAATATATTTTGATTGGGAAAGATGAAGTGATGTCGGAGTTCGTTGAATTTATACTGGTAACAATATCTGTGAAGACAATAATTTTCTTTTCATTTGATTACAAAGGGCAGGGATATAGTAAATTAATACGAAAGCAAAGGTCTTTACGTACTTTTACAAAATACCTTTGAGATTTGTGAAATTCATACCTTTGAATTACAACTAAAGTAAAAGGAAACTAAACGTATAACTAACACAAAATATTTAAATTTGAAGTAATAAGTATTTTGTATACAACAGTCACCGTAAATACATTACCCCATCGCGACTGGTCAGCGGTAAGATCAACGAGTCACACACAAAATGGCGCACAGTCGCGAAACAATGCGACAAATAAAGATAAATAAAGGTATACCCAATAAAGAAACTAAAGAAAAAGAATAAAAATACATAAATTATGTAAAAGATATTTGTATTGCAATTAATTACTTTTCTCTTTTTTGAATCATTATAGACAAGATAATACTATGATCTCACACACTTGCTAATATTGTGTAACAATAACGTGACGTCTAGGTAGCAATCGACATAGAAGCACTTTGTACTCGAAATTATAAATATTAAACAACAATACGTAGGGTAATCTAATCAATTAACAAACTGGATCAATCAATGTTATAGAAACGACAATTTAAAATTATCGCGTAGTTTTCGAATCATAATTTGTAATCGTAATATATCACAATCAATCATGTTGATTTAGTCTTTCTGTGACAGTTTGACCCACCTTCCTTTGGATATTGTTAAAATTTTCATTATCATATTTTCATTGACATCATTTACGGTTTGGGTCATTAACCATGTTCCACTATGAATGCTCAATCTTTGGAACAACTTTTTCTTTAGTTTATTTGTCTGGCGACTTATCTCCTCTCCTCTCCTTACCTCCTGCTCCTCCTCCTTCTCCATCGGTCCCTTACTGCTGAGGATCGTGACTTTGAACAAGTATACCGGCAATCAATCCTCTCCACTTAACTCTGTCTTTGGCTAGGTGGAATGTGACGCTCACTGGTACTGCCAGACTTTCAGCCACCTGGTCACACCACCCTTTCGAACTTCGACCTCTAGTTCGACTGGAGACTTATAAGGATGTTGATAAACAATAACGTGTCAGCCAACATGATCATAGTTTTGAGAAAATAGCGCAATATTTTCTCGTACTAAAATTTGGTATTAATATTGTGGTTTAACACATTG